TGCATTGCGACTTTTATTAAAAGTCCCTCGGTGTACAAGTGCCAGTCAGCTTTTTGTTCAGAATCAGGTGCCTATGTTATGTGCTGTTATCAGAAACTTTGTGTATAAATTTATAAAGCGACTTGAGGCCTCTAAAAATGAAATTATTGTGATCTTGGAGAAGAGTACTGTTAGGTACACCTCTGCACTTTGGAGGCACTGGAGAAAGTGCTTATATGGACATTAGATGTAAATTATTTTCTTGTTATTTGTTGTTGTTGTTATCCATGTTGTATGTTGTTTTTGTATGCTTTTTTATTTTATATGGACCTTTTTGAGTCTGAAATAAAGATATCATTCATTATACAATCACAACGTTGGTGACTGTAAATGCCGAAAGTTGACGCTTACACATAAGGGTGACTAGTTTGTGTGAAAAAAAACAACAACTGCATGCACACTGCATTTTGGTTTTGACCTCAACAGGAAGTGGTGGTCACTCTGAAGGTGATGCAGCAGACGGTCTCATGGCAGGCGCTTCAGCCCGAGTGACCTAATTAAGTTTATGATTGTGCTAATCTGATTATTTTTGTACACTGTTTTTATTGTTTTAATATTTATCAGAATCAACAATCTGATGCGAGTTGCGCTGCTCTGATGGGGACTTTTAGGCCTGAACTGTGAGAACTTCTGCATTTTTTTTTCTTGCAAACATCACAAAAAGTTTATTGATCTCAGATAGTTGAGTCAGATCAGAGGCCTCAGTTTGCTTTGGGTTTTTGTAGAAGAGTGAAAAAGATGAGGAAGGGCTTTGGGTTCAGAGAAGAGAAGAGCTGAAAACCACAGTGATGATTAGACTGTAACATGGTTTATCATTCAGATTGTAGACTTTGCATTGCACTGCAGGGTTTAACTACAAATGTGTATGAATTGCGTTTAGTAGAGTTAGCAAATAAAGTCCAATAAATTAAGCGAATGCTTCAAATAATTTTTATTGTGTATGTGCAATTAGTTTAACCATCTCAATAAATGTATTGTTATTATAAATCTAGGTCAGGGTATTGTACCTCCAAGTTGTGTATCGAAGTGTGGTTTGCACCAGTGGAATGTGCAACCTGTGCACAATGAGTTTGAGAGATGGATGCGTGGTGGTGTGTGCATATGCGGTACCGGTGCAAGGTGTAGGTGGATGAGGTGTTTCTGATGGCCTGATCTTAATACTGACTTATATACGTTAACAAAAGCTCTAGGAGAGGCAAATACTAAAATTTCTAAAGTGCATTAAGCATATGTTATGTGCAACACAATCATACCAATATGTTCCAAAAAAACAACCTAAGCTTGTATGACCACACTTTTAAAAAATAAAGGTGCTTACGATGCCATAGAAGAACCTTTTTGTCTAAATGGTTCCATAAAGAACCTTTAACATCTGAAGAACCTTTCTGTTTTACAAAAGGTCCTTTGCGGCGAAAGAAGGTTCTTCAGATTATAAAAAGGTATAAAAGAGATGGTTCTTTAAATAACCTTTGACTGAATGGTTCGTTGTGGAACCAAAAATGGTTCTTCTATGGCATCGCTTGAAGTACCTTTTGAAGCACCTTTATTTTTAAGAGTGTAGCTGGTTTCTTGCTGGTCCAAGATTATCTACAAGCTTGGACCTGCCTCCAACCATATTTATTCCAAAACACAGAAACCATTTTCCAGTTAAAAGACAGAATGAACAAAATCTTAAGACGTTAATAATATTCAAATCGCAAAAAATGACAGTACAAAATACACAGTAGCCTATAATGTACCAGAAAACTACTTCACTCAGTAATAGTCAAGGGCGGGACTAAAAACAGTGAGGTCGCCTCAAACGCACTGCATGTGAAACCTTTTTTCTTTTTAATTTGTAGGTTCGTGAAGAAAGTTTTCTTAATTATCGATTTGATGAAATCAGGCAAATTAAGTGTGTAGACGCTGGTCGGTTTGAATGCGTTAGATCCGTGTTCCTGTCTTTTGTCCATCGGACACTTGACGGTTCTCGTAAAACACATCATGGAATTCAATTATCTTTAGGACAAAATGAGGATTATTATTTGTAAAACAACGTTTTTATGTCTCTTCCTGTTGGTCATGGATGGTAAGTGTTTTAACTGTGTCGCTTCGACTTTAGTCTGTTGGGTTTAAAACAGAAATATGATATTTATTCGCTTATTCTCCGCTGCATCATCCTCTGTCTGCACCTTTAACACATAACGTTATAGATTGTGACCAAAAACAAGTGCGAATTTCTGTGGGTTTATCAGGTATGGGATCAACCAGTAGGCTTGCCTACCAAACAAACAACGTACATAACGTAGCAAATTAGCTTTAATGGAAGTTGCGCCCAAATGTTGGATCAGCCATTGGCAATCTTTCTATAGAAACTAAGAGCGCAACATTCTTTGTCGCGCACATACGTATAGGCTATCTAACGTTAACAGGATCACAAAGAAAGTAGTAATCTCCACGAGGGTAGCTTTAATTGACACAATTAATTAACACTAAACATAATTATAACCATGTATTATAAATAACAATCAACATTCCCAATAAGTACAGTCGACTCTGCATATTCTGCAGTATCCAGTGGCTGTTTTTGTTTTGTAATAGTTTTTTAGTTGTATTTGCCCGTGTATAATCATAGGAAACTGAATAAAACTATAAAAAAAATAGGTTAATTTCTTCAGAAGTTAAGAATAGTATACTGTAAAAAATTAATTAAATTAAAGTAATTTTAACAGAACAATAAATGGTTGGTTGGCTATAATGTTACCTTACAATATACAGTATGATTAAAAAGAAATACATTAAGTAAACAATATTAGTTATGGGGCAAAGGGAACTCCGTAGATTTATTTCGTTTCTTTCTTTTTTATCAGTCATGTTCATATAAGTGTTTTATGTTGCATTTTATGTTATTTAGTTCATGCTTAGTGTGTTATTTAAGTCTGTACCCTGAAAAAAAAATCCAAATAGGTTGGTATGTTAACATTATATAATTTATTTACATGTACATGGAATTGTAAAATATAGTTTTGCTCCTGTAATTCTAATGAAAAAAAAATACAATATCATTTTGAAATTATTAGTATTATTAGTAATACTATTAATATTAGTAAATTCTAAATGGCGCCTTCTATTTGTAATCCTCCTTCATTACAATTATTCTGGGAAAACTGTTTCTGAATGTGTTTCAGATGTGTTTGGTGGTGATACAGATGTAATGAAGTCAGTGTCAGTAACTGAGGGAGATTCTGTCACTCTACACACTGATGTTACTGAAGTACAGAGAGATGATCAGATACTGTGGATGTTTGGACCTAAAGAGAATCGAATAGCTGAAGCGCAACATTCTTTGTCGCGCACATACGTATAGGCTATCTAACGTTAACAGGATCACAAAGAAAGTAGTAATCTCCACGAGGGTAGCTTTAATTGACACAATTAATTAACACTAAACATAATTATAACCATGTATTATAAATAACAATCAACATTCCCAATAAGTACAGTCGACTCTGCATATTCTGCAGTATCCAGTGGCTGTTTTTGTTTTGTAATAGTTTTTTAGTTGTATTTGCCCGTGTATAATCATAGGAAACTGAATAAAACTATAAAAAAAATAGGTTAATTTCTTCAGAAGTTAAGAATAGTATACTGTAAAAAATTAATTAAATTAAAGTAATTTTAACAGAACAATAAATGGTTGGTTGGCTATAATGTTACCTTACAATATACAGTATGATTAAAAAGAAATACATTAAGTAAACAATATTAGTTATGGGGCAAAGGGAACTCCGTAGATTTATTTCGTTTCTTTCTTTTTTATCAGTCATGTTCATATAAGTGTTTTATGTTGCATTTTATGTTATTTAGTTCATGCTTAGTGTGTTATTTAAGTCTGTACCCTGAAAAAAAAATCCAAATAGGTTGGTATGTTAACATTATATAATTTATTTACATGTACATGGAATTGTAAAATATAGTTTTGCTCCTGTAATTCTAATGAAAAAAAAATACAATATCATTTTGAAATTATTAGTATTATTAGTAATACTATTAATATTAGTAAATTCTAAATGGCGCCTTCTATTTGTAATCCTCCTTCATTACAATTATTCTGGGAAAACTGTTTCTGAATGTGTTTCAGATGTGTTTGGTGGTGATACAGATGTAATGAAGTCAGTGTCAGTAACTGAGGGAGATTCTGTCACTCTACACACTGATGTTACTGAAGTACAGAGAGATGATCAGATACTGTGGATGTTTGGACCTAAAGAGAATCGAATAGCTGAACTCTATAAACAGATGATTGATATGTTTAGCAGTAATGAGACATTTGGAGACAGACTGCAGTTGGACTCTTTCACTGGATCTCTGACCATCAGAAACATCAGAAGCACAGACTCTGGACTTTATAAACTACAGATCCGCAGCAACAGAGGGAACTCGGACAAGACATTCAATGTTACTGTCTATGGTGAGACAAATATGACTTAAAAACATCTTAAAATATGTATAAATGGTTGTGAAGCTTATTATTGATCTGGTAGTAGTGACTTTTAACAATACTAAAAACTGAAATGTATTTCCAATCTACTTTTTATTTTAAGCCAGCAAACTCTAACCCCTAAAATGTAATGCAGCCTTTATTTTCTGTACAATTATGTATGTTATGTCTTTTGTGTTTTTGTTTTGTAATACGGGCTATTAAGTTGACTCTTAGTTTGTATTTGGTTCAGTTCCTGTTTCTCTTTGTCATTAGCAACTTATGTACATCTGTGTCTTGTAGGTAATTTACCCTTTGTGTAGCTCTTGTTTAGTTGGTTCTTGTCAATCCTTGGTGCTAATGTTGTGTAGCTCACTTCTGGTTTCCATGTTGGATATTTTGATTATTGTTCCACTTAATCTGCATTTGGATCCTGCTTTCCCTCATGTCAGAGTTTGCCCACATTACAACAATATGCGTATTTAATTGACATGTTTTCCAGCTCGTCTTCCTGTTCCTGTCATCACTGGTAACTCTTTAAACTGTCCATCATCTGAAAGATCCTCAGTGTCCACATGTTCACTGGTGTGTTCAGTGGTGAATGTGAGTCATGTGACTCTCTCCTGGTACAAAGGAAGCAGTTTATTGTCCAGCATCAGTGTGTCTGATCTCAGCATCAGTCTCTCTCTACCTCTGGAGGTGGAATATCAGGATAAAAACAGCTACAGCTGTGTGCTCAACAATCCCATCAGCAACCAGACTCAACATCTGGACATCAGTGGACTCTGTCAAGGTATGACCACATCAGGGTTTGTTAATTATATTTGAACTAAGCTAAATAGCTTCACTAAATACCATTTATAGTTTAAATCCCACAATATGCAGGTGGTGGTATTTCAGATTGAGTTAAAATACTTTCAAGGTGTTCCGTGTTATCAATTTTTTTTTATATACTCAGTACTTTTATATATAAATCGGTACTTATTTCGGACCATTTTTGACAATTATACCAACAACCTACAGTTGTTGCTTTCTGTATAGTAGTGCAAGATATAAATGAAGGCATGACTGCACATTTATATACTGGAAGTAAAAATAAAAAATTATTTAAAGGGTATTCTGTACAATGGATTTAAGTTTCAAAAAAACTTTTAAATTCCTTTTCTGCCTTCATATCATTGCTCTTCCATAAATAGTATTTATTTTTCTTCTTTAAAGGCACAGGTGAATGTTAATTATTGTTTTTCCTCTTTCAATTTCAGATTGCAGTTCATGGTCGATTACAATCATCTGCAGTTGTTCTGCAGTAGTTCTGGCTGTGATCGCAATTGTGATGTGCTGTCTTTACAGGAAATACAGAAAACCAAGGCCAAAAGGCAGGTCTTATTGTAAGCTAATGCAACAAGCATATGTGCATTCATGTTTTAATGATTGCTATTAATGATTTTATTACTTAGTTTTTTAATTCTTGACTTTAGTGAATTGTTTTGAACCACCTGCACATGCAGCTGAAACCGTTCAGACAGACGAGAGTGAGGTAGCTTACGCCGAAACAACATTTTTACCTAATGTACAAAACAAGGTATGACTCTCATGGGCATGTTCACTTTTACACCAGATAAAAATGGTTTAAAAAATAAAAAAGTTTAAAAGTTTGCATGAAGCAATGGCAGTATACTGTTACTGGGATAGTTCTGTAACTCCAGCACATTAATCAGAAAACAATGCTCTTCTTCCTTGTGACTTTGCCAGCTTCTGGTATGAAGAACTGGGGTTTTCAGTAGTGTGATTACTTTGGAAGTATCAAAACATAGCATTTGTAAGATTATGATTTTTCAGCTATAAATATCAACAGTAGCATCCAATAAATACTAGATAGATGTGTTCTGTCTTTTCACTTTTAAAATGCGTTTCGAAGTAAGAACTGACTGCTATACATAAAATGATAGAAATGATATAAAAATGAGCCTGCTGGTTTTTGTTTTGTGAGACTTCTTACCTTCTGTCTGTGTTGTCCTACAGAAGCCCAATGGGACAGAAGAGACTATATATTCCACCGTCAATAGACACTGATCAAACAAGCAGCAGTCTCTCATTTCACCACAATGGCTTTGCACACCTGCATCTGTCAGTATTACTACACTTGATCGAGGAGAGGAAAACATGATATGCCCTTGATTTTCTTTGCTTTTTAACTTAAAAGAAAAGATTTTGAAGAATGTTGGGGTCCAAACAACATTGGGCCGCATTCACTCTTATTGTATAAAATGTGTATTAAAAATATTGTATAAAAATACTTTTTTTCAAAATATCTTCATATGTTATATAGGCTTGGTATGACATGAGGGAGAGTAAATGATGACAGAAGGATGACAATATCTTTACGTTGATCAGGTTGTGGCAGAACAAGCATGTCTAATATATAGGAAATAAAAGACTGAACAACTTATTCAACATTGGACTGAACTTTGTTTGTGTGTTTCGTTTTAGTTTTTTTGCATGTCCAAATTCCCCTCTGACTAATAAATCTATATTTTGCATGTAGACGCAGCGAGAGTTAAAATGACTATTAAAAACAACTGACTTAAGTCAGAAATTACTTAATTATTGTACAAAAAAGGCGGTTTCATATGTGATGCATTAAAATCAGAAACTTGCATGCCTTGTTTATGCTCTTTCAGCTTGTCTGATCCACAGAATAACTGGCAGTTACTTATGTCCTCAGGGTTCTTATGTAAAGCCACAAGACTCCACCCCAGCTCCTGCTGTCATTCCAGTAATTCTTAGCTTTCTGCCCTGTATCATAGCACTGCAAGTCATTACATGTCTCATCGTACACTATTGCTTTACACTCACAGGCTTTGTGCTGCATCTGATGAAATTTGACCCTGATCTGTGCTGTTTGTTTCTGTTAAAAGTTTATTCTCTTTTTGTTTTTCCCCTTTTCATTGTTGTTAGTATTTTTATAGAAAGCCCAAAGTTCCAGTAACTGGTTAGTCGGTTATTTCCAAAATAAAGAGATGTGGATTGAAATTGATGTTGAGCCTCAAAGTTTATGAAGGTATTTGTTGATGCTTTAGGTCAGTGACTTTCAAAGTGTAGGGCAGTAAAATTGTAAATATAATTCAACGTGTTATTAGACCAGAGGGTGAGTAAATGACGATTTTTAGAATAACTCCTTCATTTATTTGTCACATTGCCCCTTTAAAACGGTGAATCACACAGTTTTAAATGGGCAGTTAAAAAATGAGAACCACTGTATTAAGCAAAACTATTGTTGTACCTGCTAGGAGAGTTTGACATTTGGTAATTCAGACTGCAGTCTTGCATACAGGTAACTGATCATTTAATGAGATAAGAATTTTGGTAGACTACAAAGAAGCACGTTTCCTCTATTTACATTATGAAGTGGATATGAATTCGATTGAACAATTATGAGTTATTGCCACCTAGTGTCTGCAGAAGAAAATGGCGTCAGTGAGGTTGTGATGCTGGCTTTTTCTTTTTCACATCCGTTCTAGATCTGACGTAACAAACGAGCAGAGCAACAGCGGCCACGCCCACCACAGCATAAATCAGCGATGGAGTCGCACTCAAATAACTGCTGGATAAGTCTGGGGAAAGAAAAGACAAATATTAGGCTAGCCTATATGAGGAATCAAATGGTCATTTCTAAAAGTATTTTGCTCATTAAATGTTTGAATGAAAATTCTAAAATGTATTGTTCCAAAAAAGCACCTTTGAGAAACTCAACAGCATGAAAAGACAATGCAGAAAAGCTGAGCGGATGTGGCGGAAGACGAAACCTGAATTTCACTATAGCATCTATAAAGACAGCCTTCATGCCTTCATTGTGGAACTAGGCACAGCTAGACAGTCATTCTTCTCAAACCTTATAAGCAGTAACTTAAACAACACTCGCACTCTTTTTGTTGAAAGACTAACAAACCCCTCAAGTCAGATTGCCAGTGAAATGCTCTCCGACAGCAAATTCAATGAGTTTGCTTGCTTTCTTTTCTGCGAAGATCAATAATATCAGAAAGGCGATTAGCACATCCTCAATTTATGCAGAGGTCAGACAGATTTGACCACAATCTCAAAAAGAAGTTACTATGTCTGTTTTTGAAGCAATTGGTAACAAACTTTTGTAAGAAATAGTACAGCACCTTAAATCGTCAACCTGCGACCTTGACACACTTCCCACATCTTTTTTTTTTAAAGTGTGTTTAACTGTTTAAAAACAGATCTCTTAGAAGTGGTAAACACCTCACTTCTTTCTGGGACTTTTCCAAACTCCCTGAAAACTGCAGTTGTTAAGCCCCTCCACAAAAAGAGCAATCTGGATAATACCATATTGAGCAAATATAGACCAATATCAAATCTTCCTTTTATAGGCAAGATTATTGAAAAGGTCGTTTTTAATCAGCTGAACAACTTCTTAAACTCAAATGGATACCTGGACCATTTTCAATCTGGCTTCCGACCGCATCACAGCACAGAGACAGCGCTCATAAAGATAATAAATTATATTCGCATCAATTCTGATTCTGGCAAAATATCAGTGCTGGTACTACTGGATCTCAGTGCTGCGTTTGACACTGTCGATTATAACATACTACTAGAGAGACTGGAAAACTGGGTCGGGCTTTCTGGGATGGTACTCAAATGGTTCAGGTCATACTTAGAAGGGAGAGGTTATTATGTGAGTATAGGAGAGCATAAGTCTAAGTGGACGTCCATGACATGTGGAGTCCCACAAGGCTCAATTCTTGCACCGCTCTTGTTAAGCCTGTATATGCTTCCACTAAGTTTCTTCCACTTGGAGAAACTTGTTGACTTTATCACCAGCAGGGTCGACTATTGTAATGGTCTCCTTACCGGCCTTCCCAAAAAGACCATTAGACAGCTGCAGCTCATCCAGAACGCTGCTGCCAGGATTCTGACTAGAACCAGAAAATCTGAGCATATCACACCAGTCCTCAGGTCTTTACACTGGCTTCCAGTTACATTTTAGATTGATTTTAAAGTATTATTACTTGTTTATAAATCACTCAATGGCCTAGGACCTCAATACATTGCAGATATGCTCACTGAATAGTGAAGCCTAACAGACCACTCAGATCATTAGGATCAAGTCAGTTAGAAATACCAAGGGTACACTCAAAACAAGGGGAGTCCGCTTTTAGTTATTATGCCGTCCACAGTTGGAATCAGCTTCCAGAAGAAATCAGATGTGCTAAATCAGTAGCTACATTTAAATATAGACTCAAAACACATCTGTTTCGTTTGCTTTTAATCTGTTTAGTGCTTTTACTGAATGAGCACTGCGCTACGTCCGAACTGATTGCAGTGTATTTTATGTATCTTCATTTTCTATTCTTAACTGTTTTAATTTCATTTTAAATCAATTTTTGAAAATCATTTTAGAATTTAATTCCTTGCTTTTATTATTGTGATTTTTTTTTTTTACTTATGTAAAGCACTTTGAATTACCATTGTGTATGAAATGTGCTATATAAATAAACTTGCCTTGCCTTGCCTTTTGCTAGTAATACATGTTGTGCATATTTATATGCTCCATGATTAATTACAGTTAATATAGCTAGTACAGGAGGAATATTAAAGGGGTCATATGATGCTGCTAAAAAGAACATTATTTTGTGTATTTGGTGTAATGAAATGT